CATTTGAATACACAATTAACATTCAGAATGAATTATTCTGTTCTTAAAATTAAGAATGTATTTAAAGCCATTGCATGAGCCACAACTAAATTAAATCATAAAATAATTTTAGCTAAATAAACATTACATGTTTAAGTAAATTCCTTCCCAGAAATTAGAACATCTTAATACACCAATGCTTTCTAAAAATGACACAATCAACCTCTCCACCATGCCTTCCTATTACTTTAATTATTTTAATTGTTGTTGTCACATTTTGTTTTTAAGTTGTGGAAACGGATAAATCGAATCAGTTGAACATGTTACTTTGCACTGCAGAATGCATGATGATTGTAGAAAGAAGGTAATCTCTCCACTAATAGGTAGTGCATGGTAGTCTCACAGATTTTTTACTGTCCTGCTTAGAGGGTGCGTCCACTTATATTACTGGGTATCTAAATCTTTATTGATTACTATGAGAACTAGAAAGAAAATATTCCAGTCATTTGAAAGAAGGATTCATTTGTGATATATAGGACTTCTTTCTGTATATTCTGTTTTCTTATAATTTTGCTGGTCTGTGACCATAATAAAGAATGATAATGATTTTGTTTATAAGTTGATTTTGTTTAATTTTTTTTGCATTGTAGTTTGTACCATAATAAAATTTCCTTAAATTTGCTCTAGGATTCTGATTGTTTTTGGGAAGGGTTGTTACAGCCTAACACAGCTATTGCTTTGAAATTTGTTGTGTCCGTAATTGCCATTAATGCACAGAAAGACCCCAAAGATACAGGTGGCCATTTATACCAAGTAACATCTCTAGAACTACTCTATTAAAGATTACTCTAAGATTAATTAGCAGATCAAAAACTGCTCAGTAAACCAAATAAATGTCCCTTAATTACTTGTTTTGGTTACTCTACTTTTGCAGCAGCCAGATCAATGGTTGCTGTTCTTTAGCTAGATATTAACAACCTCGTTCCGATTCTAGTCATGGAGGTGAGAAAGGAAAGTACTCTGCAACGAACAAGTTTTTTCCAAGGAAACTGATGTGCTGCCTTCTTACCTCCATAACCTCAAAGGTGCACGGAAGGAAAAAAGATCAGTATTCTGCAGACTGTTATAACTGAGTAAACCCCACTCAACACAGCTGGGCTCTGTGAGGAATGACTTTGGTCTGGCTTTTAGGACCTTTGAAGTGTATGACATAATCCTGGGAAGGAGCAAAAAAAAAAAAAATCAAATTAGAGTACCAATGGAGCAATAAATAGAGCTTAAGTTCAAAAGAGAGCTTCCAGAATGAGACTGTCTGAAAAATTCATAAATCTCAATTCCAAGACTCACCTCACCATTAGGTTAAATTCAGCTCTCCTAGGATCCCAACCTGGTCCTCTGGGCCTCTCCTGTTGGTCACATCCTCTTTGTCATGACACTGTTGCTTGATTGTTTCCATAGCCCAGCCCTCCAACAGCAGCCTCCCAGTCTCTCAGGTAGAGGCTTTTTAATATGGAAGTGAAAAGGATTTTTGGTTTGTTTGTTATATCCTGCCTTGGATTCAATGCATTGGTAACTGGTGAATCCAGTTTTGGAGATGGTAAGAATCCACTCCAGGTTTTAGTCTGCCCTTTACGAGAGCTATCCAAGGTGCTAAACCCTCTCTCCAAAATAGGTTTAGCATCTTGGATAACTCCTGTCAAAAGTAGACAAAAACCTGGAGTGGTTTCACAGCAGTAATTACCAGCTGCTACTGTTCCCATGAACTCGAAGTGACACATGTGACTCTCCTCTTCCCAGTTCACCTTTATGACAACTCTGTGATATGTATAAGGATGAAAGAAAGTGGCTGACCCAGGATCACCAAGTGGGAATTTAACCTCCTGAGTCTTAGTCCAGCACTCTAATCTCCCCAAGTCAACAACAATAACAGCAACATTTTTTCTTTCTTTCTTTCTTTCTTTCTTTCTTTCTTTCTTTCTTTCTTTCTTTCTTTCTTTCTTTCTTTCTTTCTTTCTTTCTTTCTTTATTTATTTATTTATTTATTTATTTATTTATTTATTCGATTTCTACCCCGCCCCTCTAGCCAGTCAATAGCGCTATGACGTTGATTCTTTCTTTTACTACAGTGCAACTTAAAACTTTCTGCAAATGGATCTCAGAAAAATTTGGAACATAACTTGGGTTATGAAGCAGATCAGTTACCACTTCAGTGTTGTATCTGAACTTCACTGGAAACCTTTGCAAATGAATAGGTTGCCTAGTTCAGCAAAGAGGAGCCAGATACTTTGCTAAATATTTATAGGCAACTTGCCTCCAAACTGGGATTAGGACAAAATGCTGATATCATTGTTTGTCAGTCTAGACTGAGTGGGTCGGGGGGCAGATTGCAGCCCTTCTCATAATTGCCTATACAGTGGGGTCTCGACTTAAGAACTTAATCCGTATTGGAAGGCAGTTCTCAGGTCGAAAAGTTCTTAAGTCGAATCTGCATTTCCCATAGGAATGCATTGAAAACCATTTAATCCGTATCTGCTCTTTTCGTCCATAGAAACTAATGGGAAGCTGCTATTCCGCCTTCTGCCACTAGAGGGGGATTTTTTCTTTTTTCCTTTTAACCTAAAATGACTTAGCTTTAAAAAAAAGGGGGGGAAGAGTTCGTAACTCGAATCTAAGTTTGTAAGTCGAGTCCATATATTCCTATGAGAGCGGTTCGTAAGTTGAAACGTTCGTATGTCGAGCCGTTCGTAAGTCGAGACCCCACTGTAGTGGTTATGGCTGTGGAGAGTAACATTTGAAGGGTCATAGTTGCCCACTCCAAATTAGGCTAATGATAAAAGTGAGAAGCCTGGATCTTATGGGAGATTTATGCCAGCATTCGTGAAGGGTGTTTGCATAAATAACTGTGATATTGTTGCTGTTATGCACCATCCAGTTGCCTCTGGCTTATGGCAACCCTAAGAATAACGTGATCTCCAAAAAGCCCTGTCCTCACAGCCATACCCAGCTCTTGTGAACTGAAGGCTGTAGCTTCAATTATGGAGTCAATCCTTCTCATATTCATTCTTCATTTCCTGCTGCATTATTTCTTTTTCCAGCAAATCTTGTCTTCTTATGATACACACAAAGTACAACAGCCTTAGATTCATCATTTTTGCTACCAAAAAGAGTTCTGGCTTAATTTGATCTTGGACCACTTGTGCATTTTTCTAATAATCAAAGCTCTCCTCCAGCACTGTATTTCAAACAAATCAATTTCTTTCCTGTCATCTTTCTTCACTGTACAGTTTTCACATACATGCACAACTGGGGCTACAACAGTCCGCATGATCTTGGCCTTAGTCTCCCATAAAATGTTCTTATATTTGACAGCATTTTCATAGCTTCTTCCATGTTTCAGTCTTTTTCTGATTTCTTGGATGCAGCACCAGTTCAAACCGATGAATGAACCAACTATACATCTTTAACCATTTCAGTTTCTTCATAGCCAACCCTGAATGTATGTAGTTTTCTGTAGTCATGATTTTTGTCTTGTCATTGTTCAGCCGCAAACCTGGTTTTGCACTTTCTTCTTTCATTTTTAGCAGAAGTTGGTTCAGATCGCTACTGCATCCTGTCAGTAAGATGATGTCACCTGCATATCTCAAATTATTGATCTTTCTTCTACCAATTTTCACTCTTCCTTCAGCTAAATCAACACAATATGATGTGTTCTGCATACAGACTGGACAGGGAGATAAAATAGTCCGTTATCTGACATCATTGCCTTTGGGAAACTATATTGTTTCTCCACATTCTGTCCTAAGCAGTAGTTGTGGAAAATATAGTTTAAAAAATTGTAACATACAGTAGTAGGGATCTATGGCAGTTTTACAAGGAAAGGTTATCTAAAGTGAATATTTCCTATTCCACACTGGCTGGCACAGTTGACTGCAGTTAGCGAAAATCTACTCTGGCTTTACTGTTCTCTAGAACAACAGCAAGGTCATTAGAAGATGCTGCTCTGTGCAACCCTATGCAGAAGAAGTGATGCTAAGGTAGGAAGGAGCTTCTCTTTCCTGCTATTGCCTCGACGGAGGAGTTTGTTATTTATGGTTTTTAGCAAATGTCAAAAGTAATTTTAAGAAACAATTATTAAAATATACTCTGTAAAACTCCCACAGCCTTAACAATGTGTTCTGCATACAGACTGGACAGGGAGATAAAATAGTCCGTTATCTGACATCATTGCCTTTGGGAAACTATATTGTTTCTCCACATTCTGTCCTAAGCAGTGGTGAACTGAGGTGAATTAATGAGTTGCCATTGTATTTCTGGTCATGTGCCAAGTCATACAACTTGCACGCAACCTGGAATACAAGAAGCTACTCATTAATTAGTGCAAATTCACTGCTACAGTTTACACAAATCCCAACAGGATTCTAGCCATCATGTATTTTATTTATTTATTTATTTATGAGCACCAAGAAGATGCTGCTCTGTGCAACCCTATGCAGAAGAAGTGATGCTAAGGTAGGAAGGAGCTTCTCTTTCCTGCTATTGCCTCGACGGAGGAGTTTGTTATTTATGGTTTTTAGCAAATGTCAAAAGTAATTTTAAGAAACAATTATTAAAATATACTCTGTAAAACTCCCACAGCCTTAACAATCATTTGTACATTTGTATAGGCAGAGAAGTATATTAAAATAACAACTAATCCATTTTGATGCTGTATCAGAATATGTCTCTGTTCCTACTTTATCATTCTGGTTGTTTGCCTACAGATTCATTAGCATTCTATATTCAGATACTCAGCTATAATAAAACCTGCAGACTCATTGTGGGTCAGGAGGAGGAGGGCAACATGGTACCTTGGTTTGAAACCTAGCTGGTTTTGAGACTTTAAAGAACCGGAGAAGCGCAGAGCCCGGGGTTTCAGGGAG